AATATGAAATATATATTAATTTTAAAATATAAAAAGATAGCGCGCACGTGCATGCACACACACACACAAATATATATTATCCTTGCTACATTGCATAAAAAACACAAATAATAACAATCGATAAATTTTTTAATTAAAGAAAAAAAAAGTACCAAGCTCGCACTTATGGGCTTGGCATAACTAGCACGTGTGTCTATGCTTGGTGCAGAAAAAAATGGCTATTTTTAATCCGACAAACTCGCAATTAATTTTCGACCACGTTGATTCGCCGATAAAGTTGTTAAAAAGTCGATTTTATCATTTACGGCATCCCAAAATCAAATTCAGCTTTATTTTTATTTAAAAATACCTCAAAATCATATAAATAACACAAACGAACCATTTTAAAACTTCAAAATCTATTTTAATGCACACGAGACACACACAAAAATTCAAATTAAAATAAATAAAAAACTCAAAAAAATTTTAGATCTCGATTTACTTCTTTCGACTATATTATCACTTACAAACACCACAAACGAGTTCTACTCTTTGTGGCGAATAAAATAGTGGTGAGCTCGACCATTGAGATGACTGGAATGGATAAAAAATAAAATTGTGGATTAAAAAAATATTTTAAAAAGAAAGACTAAAGTGTATATTTTCGGACAAATAACGATAAACACAGTATATGAATAGTGATTTAAAAAAATACATAATAGATAAATAATAAAAATAATGACAGTGAATGATGCGTAAACAATGATTTTTATTTTGATTTAATTGTTTTAGTTAACAGTTGATTACTTATATTTTTAAGTAATCTAAAATCCTAAAACATTCGGGAGTTTCTTGAAATTTAAGATGTTTTTACTTACTAAATACAAGAAGTTTTGGCAACTTAAAAATGACTTTTTTTTATAGAAAATTTCATACATTCTTTATATTAAGCTCCCCTTAGTTACTGCTAGCTGTGCTTGTGTTGTTGTTTGAATTGACTGATTTGATAGTTGTTAGGAGCGGAGCAGCTTTGATTTCTGCGCTATGATTACTTCCATTTCCATCCAAATCACATTAATTACTTAATTTAGAAAAACAGAATTTAGTGAACCATGCAATGAATTCGGTGAATTGGGGAAAATTTTGCACCGACAAGGAAACTTGTGTCGATGTAAAATCCATTAATTTCCCTGTTTGTTCCATTGATTAATTTCTTTCAACACGTCCTTATCCACCATGTCTTTCTACAGTCAGTTTCATTTTTCTTGATGAAGTAACCACTCAAATTCCACTGAATTAATCTTATTTTGCATTGATGGAGTACAGCTACGAAGCTTACATATTAATATACAGCCATGGCTTAAACTAATTCATGCAATATTCCGTGTCAATCTTCTTCAAAAATAAAAGAATTATCACTAAACAAAATCATATATGCGTTGGGTCACGTAAGAAGCAAGTAATTTGTTTTTTTTTTGCTTTTTGATAAATGAAGATTCTCATTATCAAAAAGAAACAAATAGGAGTTCATTTTAGTGCGAACCAAACCATTCATGTAGAAGCAAGTCATTTGGTCCTAATTAAAGTTATTTTGTCGGGATCGAATTCGAAGAGTGATGGAAGATTTTCTTTTTTTTTTTCTCTTTATGAAATCAACATTTGGATGGGTTAGGAACGCTATGCAATAATGAGATCAAGTGAGTATTTATACGATTGCAAAAACTTTTGAAACCTAGTCTGATGACGGAAAAGATATACCTTTTGTTTGATTTATTAAAATTTTTCTAACTATATAAAATCGATACAAAATGTATATTTTAAAATTATTTAGAGAAAAAAATTAATTTTAATTAACGTAAAAATCTAATATATGAATATTCATACTGCCTAAAAAAATACGAAACGCAGTGTATTATTACTATATGGGCAAAAAAAAAAAAAAAAGTGACACTATTACTAATGTACCGTCACATTTCATGTTCCAGTACTACGCGAATCAAATCTTCTATGATTTAAAGATTAAAGATGACAACTGGATCCCTTGATTCATTTTTATTCTAAAAAAAAATGGAAATGGACCCCATGATTGGATTTTTTATCTGCTTGGAATATCTTACTTTGTTCTTTATTAAAAGAGAAATTCTAACCATTTTTCAGGCCCAAGTTTTATAAAACCTGCATTAAACTGTATCGCATTATAACTAATAGTGTCATTATAAAAAGGAGTTTTAATTCCATTTGCAATTTTACCAAAAACAAATCGAAATTATATCATTGAGGGAGAAGATTAATTCACATGATGGGGAATAAAGCACATGGATCCCACATATCAATGGTTCTGATTAATTGTGATTTTTTCTCAGTTGCGTCAACGCGATATTATTGTTGATTGGACATAATAATGTAATTTTAAAGAATTGATCCATAGTCAAAGGAAGCTTGTTCGCTTTCTTGATTTTTAGATTTGGAATTTTAGAATCTTTCATATATGAAACATGGGTTATTAAAATTCTTCATTAAGATTATCTGAAAAAAATTAATCTCAATGGATAGCTAAAGTGATTAAAAAAAAAAACTCTAATTTAATAATAATAAAAAAATATAATATTGCAATTATATAATCATCGATGTAAATAGTATTATCTTTATGATGAATATTATTGAAACTTTATGAATATTGATGTAAATATGATCGTAACCATAAGAGAGTCCGAGGTACGTACATTGTTGAAGTACTTTTTATCCGAATACGATATTAGCATGTAATCATTTCGTTGTGAAAATATTAACAAGAATTAATAGTGTTGATTAATATAATAAGGATTGATTTTCTGTAATTAGTCTCATAACGAGTTCCTTCGACTCAGTACATAACAAGTAGCAATAGTATGTACCATCCCTAGATACAATTAATTATTTAGCCGACAATATAGGTTATCATGAGTAGATAACAATAAAATTTTGTAATGAAAAAAGAGAAAGTGAAAAAGTAAAAATACATGATATTTAATAGTTTTAATTATTTACTTAAGAATTGATATTTCTTAACATTTTTTTTTAGATTAGGTTGGAACGTACTTGGAATAACTCCAACAATCTTAATTTGTTACAAATTTTTTATTCTTAATCTCATCAACAAATCTTTTGGTGCTCAACAAGTGCTGGTAGAAATATAAAAATTAGAAGGAAAGCATTGATTACAATTTTGTTTGGTAAAAAAATATTGATTGCATTTGACGATAGCGGTTGATTTTATTGCACCTTTAATTAATTTTAGGGTTCTGTTTGAATAAAAACTTTGGAGGTCATTATCATAATTTACAAGGCTAACACGTCAAAAAGATGGGGGTAGGTAGTGCATAAATCATCTTCCGCCACTCGCCCTCACTGCATCCGTAATTTCAGCAAACACGTGGTCACATTCCCTGTCTTCCCTCGTATTTACACTACTGCCATTCAAATCTTATCTTTAAATTTTCCGAATCCATCACGCTTCTTCGACCTTTTTTTTTTTTTTTTATATGACAGCCGTCATCGTTTCCATGCACTCCCCGCTTCTGCTTTATTTATTAATACATTGCCGTTTTGTTTTTTCCCACAGTCAGAGCCGTCAGGTGCGGAATTAGGGATAGCTTTGCGGAGTCATGACACCATTGAATTTTGGAAAAGTTTACTTTCAGTCTAAAAAGTTTGAAACATTTTCAATTAGATCATTTAAATTCAGTATACATTTGAATTCATTTTGTCTTATAGAAACACTTTATTATTTTTATTTTCAGACTCTCTTTACATATCAGTAGATATTAAACTTTCTCTTCGAATGATCTCAGAAAACAACATTTATATGCACCATCAGTGGTTGATTTTAGCGCACAAGACACGTTGATTATCTGTTCTATTCGTTTTATGTCTAGTTTAATAGAGAATCTCAAAATGCCTCTATTTCGCTATATTTCATTTGCATCTCAATTTTATTTATTTAATGTTTTCTTTTTTATAATATTATGTTTGACTAGTGTTCTCTTGATAAGATGGTATATATAATTAAATTTTATTAGTTGTATTCTTATATTCTTAGAAGTAATTTAAGCTTTAATTCTATATAAATACGATTGATTGGATATTTCTAGATGAAATATAATATTATTTACGATTGCATAATTAGTCTATTTATAAATGTCAATAAAAAAAATATAAGTAAATATATATATATTTTTTTCATAAATTAGAATATAATTTTTTATGTATATCTTTTTTTAAATAGATTTATAAAATAATTATTATAAATTATTCTTATTTTTAAAATTTCTCCCTTCCCACTTATGATTATTGCTACAAGTTACATATAACGCAACTATTTTCTAGACCACTCGACGCTGACAAAATCCACATGTTCTGTATTAAATCACAAATTATAAAATAAACTTAATCAATACATAATTTAAGTAAGTCATAGTTAATTACCAACGAATATCACAACCTTTTTGCAAACAACTGTCAGTCCAAAGACAAAATTGCCCTTTGTAGTTTTTTATTACAATGAGAAAAGAGAAGGGAAATGTCAGCAGAGAGACAAAATTACGTAGTGTTGTGTCTGTTTGTGTGGCATTAATCTACTTTCCAGGAATACTATTACTTGATAGATGAGACCTCTTCATAGATTCTCAATACAAGGTACTCGTCCCTTTCTTTTCTTTACACTTGTGAATTTCAGTCAAAAATACCCACATTCTCGTTTTTGTTTTTGAATAATTCCCTTCCTTCTTCATAGATCCACCTTTAATGGTCCCTTGTTGGCTTTGAAGTCTGTTTTGTTTCTTTACCCTTTTCAGTTCCATTGTAGACTTCATGTCATGCAGTCTAAATTCTGAAATCTGTTTTTTATCGCTTTTTTCACGCAAGATTTGAGATGGGCATTTCAAGTACCAGTTTTTGATGCCGAAATGAAGCTTCTTCTGTATTACTTGCTTGGTTGCAATGGTTCTTCATGAAGCAAAAGGTTACAAGTTTACAGATCTGCCATGAGAAACCACCATATAAAGCTTGTTTTACCATTTTTTTCTCTTGTTACAGTGGTTTTTAGTGCCACTGACCCCAATGACTTTGCAATTCTCAAAGCATTCAAAGAAGGGTTGGAGAACCCTGAACTTTTGGAGTGGCCCGCTAATGGTGATGACCCGTGTGGTCAATCGTGGAAACATGTTTTCTGTTCTGGTTCAAGGATCACACAAATTCAGGTTCAGAATATGAGCTTGAAAGGTAATCTGCCTCCAAACCTCAACCAGCTTACAAAACTCCAAAGGTTAGGCCTTCAAAGGAACCAATTCACTGGAGCTTTACCATCCTTCAGCGGGTTATCGGAGCTACTGAATGCTTATTTGGATTTCAATCAGTTCGATTCAATTCCTTCTGATGGTTTTGATGGTTTAGTGAGCTTGCAAGTCTTGGCATTGGATAACAATAATTTCAATGCCAGTACAGGGTGGTCATTCCCTCCGGGGTTGCAAGATTCTGCACAATTGACCAATCTTTCTTGTATGTTTTGTAATTTGGCTGGTCCCTTGCCTGATTTTCTAGGGAACTTGTCATCTCTACAGAACTTGAAACTTTCAGGCAATAATTTATCTGGTGAGATTCCTTCAAGCTTCAAAGGAGGCATGTCTTTACAGAATCTGTGGTTAAATGATCAGAATGGAGGTGGGTTGAGTGGCACTATTGATGTGGTGACAACAATGGATTCAGTTAATGTTCTATGGCTTCATGGGAACCAGTTCACAGGTACAATTCCGGAGAGCATTGGCAACTTGACTGTTTTGCAGGATCTCAATCTTAACGGTAACCAACTGGTTGGATTCATTCCTGATAGCCTGGCAAAAATGCCATTAGAGCATTTAGATTTGAACAACAATCAGTTAATGGGTCCAATTCCAAAATTTAAAGCAACTGAAGTGTCGTATTCTTCAAATGCATTCTGTCAATCCACTCCAGTTGTCCCTTGTGCACCGGAAGTTATGGCACTCCTAGAGTTTCTTGGTTCGTTGAAATACCCTTCAAGACTAGTTTCTTCATGGACTGCTAATAACCCATGTCCATGGCTGGGATTGGCTTGTGATCGCAACGGTAAGGTTAATTCCATTGTTTTGCCTAACTATAATCTTAGTGGTACCTTGAGTCGTTCAGTTGCAAAGCTAGGTTCCCTTCTTCAAATTAAACTTGGGAGTAACAATCTAAGCGGTCCAATTCCAGATAACTGGACTAGCTTGACATCTTTGAAAACATTAGATCTTAGTGCCAACAACATTTCCCCTCCATTACCAAAATTTGGTGACACAGTGAATGTTGTCATTTCGGGCAATCCTCTATTTAATGGCGGTAGCCCGTCCAATCCAAACCCCTCTCCCGGATCCGGAAGTTCAGATTCTCCACCCAGCAACCCCTCATCACCGACCAAAGGCACAGTTTCTAGTCCCGGGTATTCTTCAGAACCAATGAAACCCAAACGGTCCACGTTAGTTGCAATTATAGCTCCTGTTGCAAGTGTTGCAGTTATTGCTATTCTGGTCATTCCACTATCTATCTATTGTTACAAGAAGAGGAAAGAGACCTCCCAGGCTCCAAGTTCCCTTGTCATTCATCCAAGAGATCCATCTGATTCAGACAACACAGTTAAGATTGTGGTTGCCAATAACACCAATGGAAGCGCTTCTACAAGAACAGGAAGTGGTTCTGCAAGCAGAAATAGTAGTGGCATTGGCGAGTCTCATGTCATTGAAGCAGGAAACTTGGTCATATCAGTTCAAGTTCTTCGAAATGTGACTAAGAATTTTGCCTCGGAGAATGAGCTTGGCCGTGGTGGCTTTGGGGTGGTTTATAAAGGAGAACTTGATGATGGAACAAAAATAGCAGTTAAAAGAATGGAGGCTGGTGTGATTAGCAGCAAAGCGTTGGATGAATTCCAGGCTGAGATTGCAGTTCTTTCAAAGGTACGGCACCGTCATTTGGTTTCACTTTTGGGTTACTCTATTGAAGGCTATGAAAGAATCCTTGTTTACGAGTACATGCCTCAAGGAGCTCTAAGCAAGCATCTTTTCCACTGGAAGAGCTGGAAGTTGGAGCCTCTTTCTTGGAAGAGGAGGCTAAATATTGCATTGGATGTTGCTAGAGGAATGGAATATCTTCATAATTTGGCTCACCAGAGCTTCATACATAGAGATCTTAAATCTTCAAACATCTTACTTGCCGATGATTTCAGAGCAAAAGTTTCCGATTTTGGATTGGTGAAACTTGCTCCTGATGGAGAGAAATCTGTGGTGACCAGGCTTGCTGGGACCTTTGGATACTTGGCACCTGAATATGCTGGTAAGCATTCTATTTTGTGCTCTTGCAGATTTCCTTGATTGAATTTTCACCTACAGTGATGCATAATTGATAGAGAGTTTTATTTTCTAAAATCTTTATTGACTTTTGATAGAGCTAAATGTATACAACTTATACCTGAATTGTTGTTACGCTACAGGATTTTGTTGAATCATTTACGAGGAAGCGATAAAGCATACTTTCATGAGAATGATTCTGGTTTATTAGATCACCTAAGCTGAAAAAGGCCTTTTGATTCAAAGGCATTATATATATATATATATTAACTTGTGAAACTTTTGGTTGGTTGGAAAATTTTCAAAGAAAAGGAAAAGGAAACTATAGGTTTAGCTTTAATTGTAGGTAAAATTTCATACTGGAGCTAGGACATGCAATGCTGGTTTACCTTGCATTTCAATTTCTTGTTTTCTCTGTGCTGTATGCATTTATCCTAGTGGCTTTGACTCTCGCATGCTGCCTGTTTCAGTGACGGGAAAAATCACAACAAAGGTCGATGTCTTTAGTTTTGGGGTTGTGTTAATGGAGCTATTGACTGGATTGATGGCACTCGACGAGGACAGGCCGGAGGAAAGCCAGTACTTGGCTGCATGGTTTTGGCGAATCAAATCAGATAAGCAGAAACTCAGGGCTGCTATTGACCCAGTGCTTGATGTGAAAGACGAAACATTTGAGAGTATTTCCATCATTGCTGAACTGGCTGGGCACTGCACGGCGAGGGAGCCCAACCAAAGACCGGATATGGGCCATGCTGTGAATGTGCTGGCCTCACTGGTCGAGAAATGGAAACCTTTGGATGATGATACTGAAGAATATTGTGGCATTGATTACAGCCTCCCTCTTAACCAGATGGTGAAAGGCTGGCAGGAAGCCGAAGGAAAGGACTTGAGTTATGCGAACTTAGAAGACAGCAAAAGTAGCATCCCAGCAAGGCCTGCTGGTTTTGCAGAGTCTTTCACTTCTGTTGATGGGCGGTAGCAGAGGTACTCTGTCTCTCATTAATATGAGTTCTTTTGATAGGTGTAGATAGTATATTATGCTGTTTCTTTCTAGTATTAATTGTCGATATGTTGCACTGCCTGTGCTCTTATGTTGGATTAAGCAAGAGGTTCCAGATGCTTAAGGATCTTCATGTAGGCTTTGAAATTTTTAATTGACATTTATGTGCTATTTGTGATGTAGATAAAGAAAATGATGAATGAGAACTGGCTATTATTTATTTCTCAATTAAATCCATGAGGTTCCTGTCAATGTGTTTCATAAATAGGTTAGTTCGCAAAGGCTATTGCATACTGCCATTGTTGAAAAGTGATACTTCTTGTCTGAGCTTATATGACTTGAGTATGTCACACCTCAAATGTGCTTCTACTCGAAGATTAGATTGATTAAATTCTTGGTTGCACTGACGTTTAAATCTTCAGTATGAAAGTCACTGTATGGAAAACATTCCCGACATCCTTGCACTATAACATACTTCCTCCTACCCCCTTTTGTTTGAAGTTTTAACCGTTCTGCTATGCACCACTTTATAGCCTTGTAAAAAACAGTAGCTGGAGTCGGTGGTTAAAGGCGGATCATGGGTGTATCATGTGTAAGGAAGGGACCTGTTTACCATAGTTTTAAATAGCAAACAGTTAGAAAAAACGGTCACGATCGTTATCGCAGCTTACTATAATATTAAAATAACGATAACGTCATGTTCCGAAATCGTTACATAACGATCGTTGTATAATCTAACAGTTGTTATTTAAAACTATCTACATACTTCGAGTCTACCTGCAAATCAAAGTTTGAGTTTTCAAAAAAGGGAAAAAAAAAAAAAAAAAACAACAGGCCTGCTTCGAGATTTGGACCTGCAGCTCGTTCATATCATCTGTTCTTGGAAGCAGACCCGTTTCTGAGTTGCATTACATGCTCTAAGAGGGTTGTTACCATACACCACCCCGAGTGAGACCTTGAAAGCTACTTCAGCAAACCGCATTCGCATCAATATTAGCAGCCCACTACCTAGGGTCAGCTGTGAACTTTGCACGCCTATTCCATGAAGGAAGCAGCAAGCAATTTTCCAGGCCAATCGGTCTACTACCTCTCCTTGCCGCTTAGCAACATGTGGCACCTAATCTATGTACCTGCCAGGTCCAAAAGGGTACCGTGACACTTGAGAATTGGACCCAAGTGTTTGTGCCTGTCGTGGTCATTCTTGTGGGAGGATCTGCCAGGTCCTCAAGGAGGTCCTTTTCAGTTGAAAGAGTGTACATTGTTTGCCATGTATCATCATTATTGCTGCACTGCTGACACAACATATGTAATAGAAGAGATGTGTTTATAGAACTGACCTGAATTTCTAAATGATTGATACTCAGCCATGTGGGTGGTGCAAAATGGCCTGCTGACAAGTTGGCTTTTATGTGATCAATCAAACCCATTTTTACACGTTTAATGATAAAAATTGCATTCAAATTACTACGAGCCAGTAATTTAAAGTTATTATCGATCCTTTGACCGTTAACATTTTTATTTTTTATTTTTAAAGTTTTTTTGTTAATTTAATTAAAATATAGTCTCATAAGATTGCATAGTGACTACTTAAATTTAGTTAATTTAATCAAAATATAGTCCATAAGATTGCATAGTGACTACTCCTTAGATTTCAAAATTAATAGTGCTCATAAAAAAAATTAAAAATATAAATAATTAAACAAATATATATATGAAAGTATAAATTTTTTTCTAATCAAATATTTCTATTAAATTCGAATTTATGGTGACATAACCATTAAATTGATTAGATTAAAAATAAAATAAAATATTTAAATCTGCTATTAACTTGATTGTTGTTAATATAAATTTTTTTAATCAAGTATTTTTATTAAATTCATGTTGATATAACCATCAAATTGACACATCAGCATGCTAACCTATCCACCACATAAATATAAATATTTTATTTTATTTCAATTCAAAGGTTTGTATTTTTTTTATTTAAATATATGTACTTTTATTTTTTATTTAATTATCTGTACTTTTAAATTTCTTTTTATGAGTATTATTAATTTTAAAATTTAACAAATAATTATTATATAACCTTATCATATTTTGAGTAAGTTAACTAATTTTTTATAATAATGATTAAAAAAAAACTGGAATGATTAAAAAGGCGGGAGGTTAACGGTCAAAGGATCATAGTCGATTGTTTGGTTTGAAAATGTATCAGCTAGCCGTGATGTGGCTAAGATGTCAAGCTTTGATTATGAGCTTAGTTGCTGGAGATTTGCGGCGATGACACCGTCTTTAAAGACTTGGGTTGCGTCAAAATGATAGCCTAGTTTTGCCAACGGTGTTTAAGGAAAATTGTCATGACAATATAGGAGCAGATGAAACAGCGGTCATAAATTAGGGTTGTGCAGCTGTCCGTAAACAATTCCTCAGCAGAGTCACTACACAGTAACATCGAAGCTTCAATAGTGCTGTCGTTGATGACACACAATGCGATACCTACGATCGATGAAGAAGAGTTAGTGTTAACGTTCAAATACATAGAGGAGATTAGAAAGAAGTTGCTGTCGTTGATGACACACAATGCGATACAAGAGCATTCCGTTTTTCGGGCAAAGAGGAAATGTAAGATACCACCATGTCTATATTCTGTCAAAGCGCATGATGGTAGCTCTAATAGTTAAAAAGATTTCCTGCAAGTATTAGGGAAAAAAACAGAAGGTAGATATATGCAGCGGGTTTCATCCTTTTGTCTGTCTTTAATTCGAGAAAAAATTTAGACCAACAACTTGTTTGTCCTTTTTTTTAATTTATAATGGTAAAGAGAACGCAAGGTGTGTTTAATCCGTTTTTCCTTGTAATTCCTAGCATATCAGAAAACGAAATACTTGTGTATCAAGAATAGAGGGCTATAGCAACTGCTGAATTGTTGTTCTATTCTCGTTTCTCAAGCGTTCAATAGTGATGCGTCTCATGTCAAGCGAGCAATAAAATCTAGATCGAAATAGAGAGAGATGTTGAGTCGATGAACATTGGGACAGTAGTTAAAATTTGCAGAATAAACATGTCCTTGAGATACAGTTCTCTAAATGAATAATAAAAGTGCACGATTATAAAGCTACCTGCAATACAAAATGAAATAAACCGAATATGCAATTAAATCACGCCAAATCGCAGCGAGGGTGCCGAGGATTAGCCACATGCTTCTAATTTGAAAAATACACATTTCATGCGTTTCCCATAATCAATCAATGTAAATTTTATAACTCCTGCAAAACGGTTAGCACAATTGATCAAAAAGCATGTGCACCACCAAAACACAAACAAGAATTCAGGAGAATATAGACGATACTAACATATTTCTCTACTCTTCAAGTGAAGCAAAATCTTACATATCATTGACAAATAAAGATTTCACAGTGAGTTGAACCCTTTCAACCGTTCTACTTAGTCAAATCAGCTACAGTGTCTTTTGAGATTACAAAGGTCAGTGGCAAAAACTACACGTCTTCTGTAAAGCAACCGATGTGAAACGCTCCCAGGTCCTCCAAGCCCTGGTCCTTGGCCAATGAATTGGTCTGAGTTGATGCAATTTGTAAGGGAAAAAAGTGTCGATAAGGACGATAAACTGGTGGTAGCAGCAGCAACGATTGTCGGTCCATCGCCACTATCTTTCCACACTTACTGCACCAATAACTTTCAAATTTATCATCAAATATAATCACACAAAGCTATTAAGTTAAAAGAAGAAAATTTCACCTGCAAACTTTGGTAAATAGTGTCTGGTAGCAGCAGATCCAGTGCTTCAAAAAGAAAGTGCAAACAGAAAACAAATGAGGATGCTTTTACTAATTTCACGAACAATTTAATTATACCAGGAAATCCATGAGTTAGAAACCATACCACAATAGAATATAAGGTTGTTTCAGTGCTGACCCCATGAAAATGCTGCAAAGCCATAGCAGCATGCTCCTGCAGAAGCGTGGAAAATTTAGTTGAAATAGAAATGCTCCATCTAGCAAAGATATAGAATCAAGAAATGTTACCGAGATCTTTCTGAATACGTGATGAACTGAAAAACCTCTTGCATGTATATAGCTGCCTCCCTGTTGAAGAACAAAGAAGGGGAACAAATTGTCAAAAAAATGCAGTTATGCCCCTTTCAAAATATAGGGATGGAAAGGTAAAGGGAGGACAAAAGGTAGATATGTCATCAGCAACACACAACCATACACCCTTCAGGTTCAAAAAAAAAAAAAAAACAAACAAACAAACACACACAAAGCATAATTATGCTTGGCGTTTTTGTTTTCTTTCAAGTTCCGTGTGCAGAAAGTGCTGGTGACATTGGGAATATCAAACGTCTCACAAGCTATAATCTAATGGTGTCTCAAATTCAAAAAATATTGTCAACAATAAGATGTGCAATTTCACAGTATCAAGGTCTGAACTTTTTATAGAATATTAGTCCAAATTCATATAGCTCTTTCAGAAAATTACTTCCCAAATATGAAGCTTCATACACCATTGCAAAAATATAGACCCAAGTCAACTTCACTCTTATAATACTTGTTTGTCATCCAAGCCATACATCACCCCGAATCTCTATTATCTCCAAGGCTAACAATTAGGGAGGATTAGAACTCATAAGTTCAGATAACGCTAATCCAAGACAAAACTTCACTGATTGACCTAGGGTCATGCATAGTAGACCTCAAACATAGGTCAGCTTCAACATAGTCAAGAATAGACATGTGTGATCTGGTTAAGCACATACATCCATGCACATACCGAAGCATCCACTAAAATGAAGTCAGAAAAGAAAAGACTATTTAATTAAATTCTCAACAATATCACAACTTTCTTATGTGAAATGCTGAAACTTAACATGCACAGGTAATGTTCTCAGAAGTGAAGCAATATAACTAATCAATCTGAAAAAAACTAGGAGTCAGAAAACATGCAATCTATGAGATAGATTACCTCATCGGGCGAAAAGAAAGCTACTGCATCAGGGTCAATGGAACCAGCTGGATGCAATGATATTATAGCTCTGAAGACTGAAGGAAAGAACAACTCAATAACAGCAACCTTATCCATAGGAAGAGCACTCTGTGATACTGTTCTTAGTTTACTTAAACTGTGAAAAACATGGTCCTTCGATGTTTCCAAAGGATTCTCAGCTGAAGCTGGCAATGAGGAAGCTCTTTTCAACCAACCCAACCGTTCATAAGTAAGAATTTTCAAATTTGGCACTTCTTTTTCCAAACGTGTTAAAACATCTGAAAGCGTCTTGCAATCACTAAGCTCTTCTTGAAAATTCAACAGTACATCTTTTGAACCAAATTGTTTCTTCGATGCTGGTTCTGTACTTTGATCATCTTGTCCTTCATCGAGGTGAGGAAAAAATCGCCTTTTCTGATCCGTAAATGCCTTCAGAGCTAACCTGAAAACATTTAGAACAGTAAAATGATAACTCAATATGATCATAGGGGAACTAAGTTCGCTAAAGTAAAAACAGCAAAACCACCAGAGCATTGAACAACCGATTCTAATACCCAGGATATTAAAACCAACCTGGTTCTATCAACTGCAGACGCACCAGCCTGTCCAGCAAGTTGTCGTTTCCAAGCGTAGGCAACAACTGCGCCATCGGGACACACCACCGGCATGTGCAAGCCCCACGAATTACTACGCGACCGAAGTGATTCATTTAAAACTCCAGATTCTTCAAGTTGCCTTCCTAACAAACATTAACAACATTCCAAAATTCATTGCCACCTACCAATTTTACCATAAATAGATAAATTAACACAAATTAAGCCTAGAAAACTATAACATTGTTGTCTTAATAACTAACCTTTTACAGTAAAAAAACAGAATTGAATACAAAAGAGAGGCGTGGAGACACGTACCAACAGAGCGGAGGTCTTGGAGGTGTTGGCGCATGGAAGCGTCCTCTTTAACAAACAATTGCAAAGGTTTATTGCTCTGGTGAGGAAGTGCGGCAATGAATAGCGCTTCGAGGAGGCGATCAGCTCCTAATCTGACGTCAGCGATGAGTCGGGAAGCTTGACCTAGTCTTTCCATAGCCAGCGCCACCTGTTTCGGCGGCGCATCCGTAGAAGGAGGTGGATTAGGGTTTTGGATCGCCGCTGCTGGAGGTTCTTGCAGCTGCATCTGCTGTTGCTGTATCAGTAGAGGATGTGGTTTCATGTCCATTTTTTGGTTGTTAATAGTAATTGTAGTGTAGTGGTGTGATGATTCGAGCTAAAGATCGAGGGAACGTTGTGATTTTGAGGATTAAAAAGAGAGCCTAGGTTTTATGACATTTTTTTGGGTTTTGAGATCAATGCAACTCAAAGCGGGCGCGACGCCGCGAGCCACCGCTAGACTGGGAACGAATTCCGGGTCCGGTCGAGTTTTGGTTTAACCCTCACCCTCCTAAGCCGCATATCCGTATTCTTAAAAACTCCCACTCTCTTTTGATATAAAATAAATAAGTAAATAACAGGAGAAAGAAGGGAAGTTCCATTTGACTTCACATCTTTAGTCCCCGATAGCAATCACAGACTCGATATCTATGTGATCGCCTGTGATGTCGTTTTCTTGCGGCTGTAGTTTTATTTTATTTGTTTTCGTTGTCATGTTTCTCTATTGGATTTATGAGAGAAAAATGCAATTCTTACGTCCAATCTTTGATATCTTTTTTTTTCTTTCTTTTTTTATTTTAGTGTCTAATTGGTAAATTCCTTTTTTTTTTCAATGCCCAAATTTTGATTTTTTTTTCTTCGGATTAAGTGTCTATAGCATCTACTAACTTGAGAGCATAAAATAATAATGTATAGAGATGAAATGTCATGTGATAATTAAAAATAAGTTTAATGGAAAAAATTATCCTCTTCTATTGTAATTTGATAATTTAAATCTATAAGTATTGTAATTTGACAATTTAAGTCCGTAAGTATTAAATTGCATAATTTCAATTCCAAAATATTAGTTTTTGGATAAGTGTGATTTAAATTACATAATTATTATTATTTATAACGATCAACTAGGTTGATCGTTACAAAAAATATCACGTCGTTTTATACATTTCATTTTTAATTTTGTTCTTATAAAAAAAAATCTTAAAAAAATAAAATGATCATAATTAATTCTACATTTACTCAAACCAAATAGATCTAACCACCAAGATCGGACCTTTTTTCCCATATTTACCAAGAATGCTCGAAACAAAACTCTCTGGATTACAAAAACAAGCAAATGTTCGCATGCTTTTATGTGAGTTTCAATTTGATCCATGTGTACATAAAATGCCCGCATTTGAACTATGCATGCAAGGTGTAATTTCAATCCCAAAATATTAGTTTTTAGGTAAGTGTGATTTAAATTACATAGTCACTATTATTTATAACGGTCAATTGGGTTGACCATTACACGAAATGTCAAAACGACGTCATTTTATATGTTTCATTTTTAATTCCGTTCTTATAAAAAAATCTTTAAAAAATAAAATGATCGTAATTAATTCCACATTTTACTCGAAACCAAATAGATCCGACCACCAAGATCAAACCTTTTTCCCATATTTACCGAGAATGCTCGAAACAAAACTCCTTGAAATATGGAAAACAAGCAAATGCTCGTATGCTTTTATGTGAGTTTCAACCCCAACAAACTTTGTGTCTAATTGTTTGATCCATATGTACATAAAATGTTTGCATTTGAACTATGCGTGAAAGGTATAATGTCTCAAAGGAATATGATTTTTCATAACTCAATTATTTTTTAATTTGTTTGTCTGTGGGAAAAAATTAAAAACCTTCATCTTCCTTTTCTCCACAATCTTCATACTTACTCAAAACTAAACAGATCCACCCATTAAGATCATACCTTTTCCCATATTTACAAATAATGCTCGAAACAAAACTTTTTGAATCATGGAAAACAAGCACATGCTTGTGTATTATTATGTGAGTTTCAGCCAACAACCTTTATGTATAATTGTTTGATCCAGGTGTACATAAAATGTCCGCATTTGGACTATGCATGCAAGGTGTAATGTCTCAAAGGAATATGATTTCTCATAACTCAATTATTTTTGAATTTGTTAGTTATGGGGAAAAAATTAAAAAGCCCTCCTCTTTACTTCCTTTTTCTCATATTTACCAAGAATGCTCGAAACAAAACTCCCTAAATCATGAAAAACAAGCACATGCCCCTATGATTTTAATGTGAGTTTCAACCAACAACATTTGTGTCCAATTGTTTGATCTAGATGTGTATAGAATGCTTACATTTGGACGATGCGTGTAAGATGTTCAATAAAATATCTCAAAGGAATGTGATTTCCCATAACTTAATTATTTTTGAATTTACTAGCTATGAGGGAAAAAAATAAAAAGCCCTCGTCTTCATTTTCTCCATAATCTTCATACTCACTCAAAACCAAATAGATCCACGCACCAAGATCAAGCCTTTTACCCATATCTACCAAGAATGCTCGAAACAAAACCCAAAAAGCCCTCATCTTAACCGATACAAATGAAAATGAATCGAAAACTCTAGATGCGAAATGAAAGAAAATTACCAAGAAGAGAAGAGGATTGAGGTGGGCGAGAAGGGATAGGGAGAAAAACAACGGTAGATCCGTGGGCATGGGTGGATCTATGTTTGGTTTTGGTATTTGGAAAATTAGATAGAATAATGAGTGATTTTTAAAAAGAAAAAGGAAATGAGGAAGAATTAATTCTTCTCATTTTAATTTTTTAATATATAAAAACAAAATTAATAACCGAATGAATAAAACGGCGTCGTTTTGGCATTCCATCAAATTGTTAACCTAATTGTTTAGTTGACCATCACAAATAACGATGATTATGTACTTTGGATCACATTTGCCCAAAAACCAATGTTTTTATATTGAAGGTACGCAATTTGATACTAAATGCCTTAAATTGTCAAATTGTAATAAAATGGGGATAATTTTTGCCATTAAATCATTAAAAATATTACGCGGTAATTAAAAATCTCATGTGGTAATTCATTTCGGACATTGAGATTTGATACTCACCGATGACTTGTGGGCACTCGGACGGAAAAAAAGAGTAAAACTTGAAAATTAAAATCGAAAAATTTACCAGTTAGACACTTAAACATAAAAAAAATAAAAAATAAAAATTAAAGACTGGACCCCAAAATTACAACTTTTTTCAAGGATTTTATTGTCTTGAGATTGCAAAATCGGTCCAACAATTTTCGTTTGCTTGCATTACCGATAAATATATGTCATTTTATGCTTGTGGCATTTTCCATTTACCAAAGAAAAATTTTTAATACTCTCTATTAGTAAAAAAAAATTAAAAACTTATTAGGTGATGAATAATTGATGTAAATGGTTGATTCGTTTTGGTTTTTTGGTGCTTTCTTTTTAAGTCTTGTGCATTTTTTTAATCGAAACTCGGATTAATAATAATTGATTGATCGAGATATTGGACAAAATTTATATATACCCTAACAATCATAGAAAGAGAGCCATTCAAACTCATGCGTTGGCTAGAGAAAGGTATATGATGAGTTTGGTGGTGGTTTATTTGAAATTCAATAATTTATAGTTAGCTCATATTTCGGACAATGTTATTTTCTAGCGAGTCATTATAATTGCATGATACCTTAAGAGAGTTATCATAAATTATTCATAAATCTATATGGATATCCCATAATTAAATACAAAATTTCAAGAAATGTGGTCTAACGGTAACGAGGTTGCCTTGATTTGACTAATATAAAGGTTCAATTTCCACTATTTATGGACAACTAGTCATAATTATCTTTCAGCGGTAGCATGTTTAGGTTAGTTCATCTTAAGAGACGACTTAGTAGACAAATAAAGACTAAGCGCGTTTTAACATTAGTTTAGCCTAAAAGCGATGGGTTTAGTTTCAATTGATGCGAAAATTGACTTGAGAATACCCCTTTAAGCCTTTTTAATTATCCTCACAAAATTAACATCATGTCCTCTAGTCTAAACATATATAAGGTTCTTTAAGTTTAAATTCGGAAGAGAGAGAGAGAGAGAGAGAGAGAGAGAGAGAGAGAGAGAGAGAGAGAGAGAGAGAGAGGGAGGGGGGGGGGGACATACATACACTCCATAAATTATTCAATCACAAGAGAAAGGATTTTCTAGTGAACTTTATGTTACTTGACAAAATTTTTAATCGAGTGAATTGTCATCATTCGATTATTTATTTATTTATTTTAAACATGAGAATGATATTTTAACTAATATCATCATGTAATTAGAAGAATTAATTCATTTCAATCATTATTCAATAGGTTAAAGTATCAATGTTTCATAATTAATATAAATTATTTTACACATAATAGTTTCATTGATTAATCCTTTAGAAGTTCACAATCAATTTTTTCAAAGTATAACTTATTCTCATTTAAATCATAATTTACATTGTGTGTGAAGGGGAGGAGGGGGGTTCATGATATATAATACATTAATTAATTAATTAATTTTTTTAAAAATCATGTTTTAAAATTTTATTCTAAAATTAAATTATAGAAAAAAATAAATCATATTTATAAGTAAATAAAATTTTATATAAAAAATATTAATTGGATGAGAATTTTCGTATGAAATGAAAAATTAAAAGAATAAATTTCAAACAATAAGAGTAATATAATATAAAATATATATTAATTAAAAAAATAAAAAGACATTATATATATTTTATCCTCGTCACACTTGCGTGAAAAACAAAAATAATAACGTTATATATTTGACAATTTTTGCCTAAAAATTCTTAATTTAAAAAAATTTTAAAAAGGAAGAGAAAAAACTAAGGATCGGGCTTATGTGCTTAGGCCTAGAGCAACTAGCCCGTGTGCCTAGGCATGGGGAAAAAAATCAAATATTTTTAATCTCTAGCGACCTCTACAATTTTAGATGAACTCGATTTTACCGGAGAAGTCGCCAAAATGTTGAGTTTCTTAATTTTTAGTTTTCCCAAACCAAATTTAGCTTTTTTTTTTTTTTCTAAAAAAACCTAAAAAATAATATAAAAAAAATGTAAACAAACTTGTTTAGAAGATCAAAAATCATTTTAATAAGCAAAAAAAAATCATATCAAAATAAAAAAAATTAAAATATTTTTGAATCTCGATCTATTTCCTCCAATCATTTTATCGCTTATCACCACTATAAATATGTTTTACTTTCAAAATGAACAAATTGATGGTAAGATGTGCACCGTCATCCTCTCTCTTTCTTCCCTTCTTTCTCTTGCTTTTTTCTCCTTTTAAAAAACATGAATCATAACGAAAGAAAAATAAAGTTGTGGATTAAAAAAATGTTAAAAAAAAAACCAAAGTACACATTTTTGGATAAATATTATAATCGCACAATTAATAAATAGTAGTTTTAGACATGATGGACAATAAATAAATAATAAAAGTAGCCACAGTGAACAACGTGTGTATAATAAATCTCCCATGTCTTTTTGCATGTTTAGTAATATTTGGCTGACTACAAGGATAGGTGGGAGATTTTCGGAGGTAGGACGGTTATAAGATGAGTTTAGCCTTTTGAAATGAAAAATAATTCCAATAGTCTTTTAATATACTTTTTTTTTTCTTTTTTTAGTTACGAGAAATTACCATTTCCCAAAGCTTTTACTCCGATTCTCATTTCTTGCGTAGAAAGTACTTTGTAAAATTCGGATGGGTTTTAATTTAAAATAGAAAAACCTCTTAATATCTATGTCTATAAATAATTAAAAAAAAATGTTTGTATCGTAAAAACAAGATTGTATTAGGTGATGCTTTCCCCTGTTCCCCCCCCCCAAAGCATCACCAGAATAAATGAAGTTTTGTTGGAAAATCTCTATTCGTGTTAATTATATAAGTTTATTTTTCATATTTTATTGGGATACATATTTATTTTTGTATTTTAAGCATCAATGTAAAGATTTCGAAACATATGCCGTTTGATTTTAATTAAAAAAACAAAAGGTTTCACTCGTATTGGCAGCTCGGGTTGGATACTTGGATTGTGTATCCAATAATTTTTTTCGGTAGGGTAAAACTTGAGTGTCAAATGATTATAATTTTCTCAATTGCAATGTACTACTGGAGAATCTCTCAGTTATTATGTAGGTCGGGATCTATTAGACTTCTAATGAATTAAAAAATAAAAAATAAAAAATGGAAAGCATTTTTAATTGCGGTGCATGGTAATTTTAACAAACTAGGTTAGGGCAGGCAAGCATGAGTTATGTGGATATACTTAAAACATTGACCAAAAAAATAGTTTCTTAAATATTTCAAGTTTTAGTGCCAATTTTTTTATTTTTTCAACGATCTAAATTTGACTATACTTGAAAGATGGAATATAGTTTTAATTCATCAAAAGTTGAACTCAATGATACCACCTAATCTATTTTCAAAGAAAACAAAAACTACAACTGTACATATATAAAAGGATATTTAAATTTACAACACTTAATTTCATTTTCATACAAACACAAGTGACAATTATTATTATTATTATTATTATTATTTTATAAAAGACCAATCATTTAAACTTAGAGAACTCACACTTCACCATTTTAAAATTGACTCATCAGTTTTTAAGGGTAAATGGCTCAATGTGCTTTCAAATTCTCCAATTTGTTTTGACGTTTTTAATTACATTTATTATGTTTCTAAATAATCTTTAAGTTTTTAATTTATTTTTTTGATCGTTTTTATAACTATAGGCAATTTTTTTTTTTAACTAAAATGTAGAAAAAAACAAAAAAAACACGTAAAGTGAAATGACTTGCATATTCTATTCTTAGAGTTTTTACAATTTTATTTATTTATTTTTTTTACGTTTCAGTCAAGAACATATCGATAATTTTTTTTACTCATGATTGAAAAGTTTCATCAAAATGACAAATTAAAAACTTAAATACTATTTAAAAAATATAATCGATATAATTAGAAATGTGTGAATAAATTAAAGACTCATGTTATTATATAAAAACAAATTAAGTTATCTATCTTTATTTTTAATAAAAACATGAGAAAATAAAAGTTAATCTCATAATTATGAATTATTTAATAATGTCACCTCCATATGCATAGTTAACATTGAAACTCAATGGAAGTTAGCTATTGAGTTATTTGGGCAAATTTAAAGAACAAAAGTTAATTGAGCAAATTCAAAGATTGGGAGAGTTAATAGATCAAATTAAAGATAAGGAGATAAAACTAAATAATTGACACAAATAGACAAGTTAATTTAGGAATTTTGTAAAAAAAAAAATGACAAAACAAACTTCACAAATACACATAAACTGTTGGATTAATGGAATCTACAACGCTCATTTAGATTTTCTTATTATCATATATATATTTTTTTAATATCTAGCAGTCTCATAAAAAATTTACAAATGTCTAAACCTAGGTGACCTTATTCTTAATATTGTTTTTGAGAATGCATTATTCTTAAAATCTTTGCCACCCGAAATGTATGAATTATTTTATGCTAGCCAAATTCATATTATGTTAACACGGGAGTTCTTTTAATAATTTTATGAAAATATTCATGATTGATTGAAAAAAGAATGTTAAGAAAAAGCCCGAAAACATTTATCCCGTACCCGAAACTTTCAAAAATCGGGTCGAGCAGATATTCGGCGCAAACGCATTCAGTTTATGTTAAAGTTGCGAAGAGACTGAAAATTAGACAAAGCCTCCAACACCAGAGCCGCACCAGGTTTTCTCAGCTTCTATTTGCTTCTTACTTACTAATTTTTGTTCTCAAATCCCTATGCTTTATCATTACTTCTGAATTAAAATAATTTGAATTTGTTTTATCGCTTAACAGAAGCATCATCCTGATGCGGCGATTCTTTTTCTTCTTCTTCTGTAATTTGTAGTGAAAATGGCAAAAACTAAGGGTTCTTCCAAGAAGCAGCAAAAACGCGGTATCGACTTCAAAGTGAGTAACAGCAGTTTTTTTTTTAATTAACGTTCTTTTTTTCTAAATTTTATAGCTTGCGAACTTTATTTTTTTATTTTTGGTTAACTCTGTAGAAAATAAAGCGAAAGATCGGCAGGAAATTGCCACCTCCTAAGAATACGACTAACACAGAAATTAAATCTAAAGGTTAGGAAAAAAAACTTTCCATTTAGTTTCTTCTTAATATTTTGTGCCTTTTATGTAATAATGTGATTAATGGAAGTTTCTTTGTGTGTGTTACGAACAGCAATTGTCCTTCCGGAGCAGAGTGTTGCATCTGAGAAAGCAGGTTTAGCTGTGAGCAAGAAAGGCTTGACTTTGAAAGAGCTTCTTCAACATACATCGCATCACAATGCGAAAGTCCGTAAAGGTACTTTCGTGTAAATATTGTCACATTCTGTTAGTGTAAAAGGTTTTATGGAATTTATTTGCTAGTTACTTGGCTGTTATGTCCCTTTGATGATTATTTTTATGGTACATATGTTAGCCTCTGCATTTATTATCTTGCGATAGTTGTAAGTTTTGATGTTGACAAAAGTCTCTTTTTCCATCCCTTCTAAAGATGCGTTGATGGGTATGAAGGATTTATTCCTCAAGTATCCAGAAGAGCTTAAATTGCACAGATATGCTGTTATCGAAAAACTACGTGAACGGATAAGCGATGATGATAAAACGGTTCGAGACAACCTATATCAACTTCTTAAGTCAGTGATTTTACCAGGCTGCAAAGAGGTAATTTATCATTTTGAATCTTGAGAGCAGCCGCTGCATGGAAAGCAGTTAAAGGAAAAACCATACAAGAAATCATTCCTATGATCATGCACTCATGTTAATCAGTTATTAGTATTAGTCACAGTGTCTTTCAATTTCAAAGACTTGATACAGACAGGAAATTTCATGGCATACTCGAAATGCCTAAATTAAACACTCTTTGATTCTTGGAAGTAGCTTTCTATACTAAATGTTTAAAACGAGAAAGAAGTATTCTTCAAAAGTTTTCAAATTCAAAAAATAACAGGGGCCTATTCTCCCATTCTTCTAATAGGGAGCTTTGAGGCATTCATAAAATGATTTGGTATAGTTGCTTGTATGATTCAATATCTAGCCAGAATACTGCTTAGAGGAGCCATGATTATCAGTTTCTGTGGGAGGATGGACTAGCAAATGGAGTTTGAGACTAGGGAATAAAGAAATTTCACTATTTTTTAACAGAAAATATTAGTTCTACTTTTGATGAGATTAGAGATCTGCAATTTTCTTTCAACATGTCCTGTACAACAACAGTGTCAAAATGTTGCAATGTTTTGTTGTCTATATTGGCGTTTGTTGTTTTCCATTACCTTTCTTTTTTTTGCTGGTCCTTTTTCATTTTAATGAGGCATTCTGTCAGTTTAATTGCTATTTCATCGCTCTTTATGATTATTAATTTATCCCTTCTTTATGACATTATTTCTCTATCTCTGTTTGTCCAGGATAATCAAGGACCTGTCATTTCTTTAATGATGGCTTATATTTTTAATGCAATGACACATTTAGCAATTGATGTTCGGCTCATGGCATTCAAATTTTTTGATCTTGTTGTTCAATATCATCCACCTTCATTTTTCTCGTATGCTGAAAAGGTATCTTCATTTGTTCATGCTATTCATATGTTTGGCGTGCATTTCTTTACTCTTGGTGTTTAAGAATCCACTTGTTTTGTATTCGTGCTACACTTTGTTTATATTTATTCATGGTGGCTATGGATTGTGAAATAGGGTCTCAATCCCATTGTCAAAGTTCTTAAGTTATTTCTTCATTGTGAAAGACTTGGACCTTTATATTGTTGAAACAAGACTGCAATGGAGAGTTTTGCATATGGTACAGAAATGCATAATAATACCATGATCTTGTAAGATGGTGTTATAGTTGCTTTGTGGATCGGACCTTACTGGATATTCTTCTTTTCAATAAATCCTCGATGGGTTACTTGCTTTTTGAATATTCCTGATTCTTTCCTATTATGGTTTGGTAGATGCCGTCATTTTAGGTTAATCCAAAATATATGTTGCTGAGCTGTCAAAATAATCTCATAAATTAATAATTTGATATGAATTGAAAAAATGATATCCCCAAAAGCTTACATGCCATCAAAATGATACGTTATGAAATTAAGTTGGCATGGTTATCATTCTTTTCTATTTGCACTTTGATGCTTTTTTTTTTGGATGTGTCGTTAATAGATGCTTCAAAATTATGAAGATATTCTAAGGAAGAACCAGTTCTATTTGGAAGACAAAAACAAGCTGAAGAATGCTCTTGCTGGTTTGGTGCGATGCTTGTTGCTGTTGCCATCTAGTAAAGAAGTTAACCTGCCTGAGAAGGTACTCTCTGAGAATCAATTGCAAAAATACGTTAATTTCCTTTTTATATCTCAATGATTTTGGTAAAATTTCTTTCAGGTACAAAATGTTAGGTCATATTTCACACTCAGCCATGCATGATTGTGCCATCATACACTGGAAGATAGTTCTGTAATTTTCCAGTTGTTATTATGGTCATAGTAGCTGAAGTTTTAAGCACTAGTGGTCTATGACAGAAGATGCTTGAATTCATTGTAACAGTTGTATGGATCTTTTGTTTGTATAAGCAGTTTAAACTGCACAGTATATTGGAGGTCTTACGCAAATCAGTTGACAATTTATGAAAACTGGAACTCTGGGGAACTTATATTATTAACATCCATAGTCGGATTTAGGATCACATATAAATACTTGATTAGATAGACACGGATAATTTATTGTTTTTGCAAACATGGAAAATTTGTGGCAATGACTCTCATAGTGGATCTCTGTTGGCACTTGAGATCTTGCAAAATAGCATGGTCAGTATCTTATGGAACTGGTGACCATTGATATGATTCGGGAGCTTAAGTTAATTTGTTATTCTGAGACATGTTCTCATGCATTGATATGCCTATGGGCAATTGAAAATGAAATGAACATGTCAATATATGGATTCTCTTCTTCAGATTGAACTGTAAAATTATAGTTTTAAAGTACAACTTCAGGGATGAATTATTTCTTGTGTCTAATTGTGTTATGTGATTTGCAATACAACTGTCCTTTTGCTCATGATTTGCCTAATGATTTCTGATATTATGTTTTTCAATTTCATAGAATCTTCCTGAGCGAAAAATATTGCATGCTTTTGAGCCCGATGTGCCTACAGTATTTGCAGGTATGTCTAAAACACCTTGCTCTCACTTCTTTATGGGTTTGTAGAGTGACAGGGTCATTGCGACCAACACTCAGCTGTTACTGTCATGGCAGCATGTTTATGCTAATGTCCAATGATATGCTTTAATCTTGCACCAGAAATTTGTGTTCAAGTTAATTTCATTTTTAGCAATAGTAGTATTTATTGTGTTGCTTATTTGTTAGTTCTCAATGCCACGTTATAGGAGAAATCCATTCATAACCGATAAGATAATTATGGCTGACTAGCTTGTTCTGACATTAAATGTGCAATTGTGACCTTTTATGTTCTTTGTTTGTGTTATATCACCAATGTAATGTGTTCTGCTGTGGTAAATGTGGCAAGCCTTAACCTTCTTTTTTTTTTTCGTTTATGCAGAATATTCTGTCATCATCAAGAAGCTGAAAGACCTTGTACCAGTTTTAGTCAATTGCTTCCAGGATTTTCTCCCTATGCTTCATGGTTCATTAGATGCACAATCATTTGATTGTATGCTTAACATACTTCGGAGCATAGACCTTGCTGTCTCCTTCTTTATCCATGGGATTCAAGAAGGTCATCCCAAATTACAACCTCTTGATCAATGTGTCTCATCACTACTGTTGAAGAAGTTACTAGTTGTGTTTCCCCTCAGTCCAATGCATCACCTTTCAGAAAAGGTATGGCTTTGTTTCTGAGTATATCTCCTCTTTTTGATTGAGAAAAATGGAAAGGGATGGAAAACAAAAGGTTCATATTGCATATAAGGATAATGCATCTGCCAATCGAGTTAAACTTTTCATTTAGTCTTTCTTCACTTACTCATGGAAAAGATATGGAGAGCCTTAAGAAAAGTTTATCGCCTCTTCTTTCTATATCCTCACATCTATTTCTTCTCAACCAAACAAGTGGAAATATAACTCAATTTTTTCTATCCCATGGTTTCCTCTCTTTCAAACACTTTTTACTAAGCATATTTCTCTGCAGTAACTTCCTGTTTCTTCCTTTCAAAGGAAGCTTTTGTTCTGAAAAATATCTTTGTAACTGTAGTTGCTGTTATAGTAACTCCGTGTGGCTTAACTTTTGCTTTTTGCTTGCTTGGCAGGATGATGACAGATATGTTATCTTGAACATTGCAATGACAGAAATATTTATGCACTTAAGTGAATGGATCTGCCAACCTGCTGACTTATTAGAGAAGTTTCTAGCATTTGTAGAATATGTGTTGCTTGAAAAGGTGTGCTTCCTGCATGTCTATACTCTTTGAATTTTCAGAAAAGATCTTAATCTAGGAAACCTTGCTTCTTGGACCAAATAATTCAAATTAATATATTATCCTTTCCTTTATTCAAAATTGTTTCATAATAGAGCTCAGGACTTACAAATCACGGTCACTTTAATTACATCATGTTTGCTGATCCTTCATTTAGGATGGAAGGAAAAGTCAAACCTACCTTTTATGTGCATCAATACAAAGCTAAAATGTATCGTGTTGTGATTTTTTCATTCAGAAGTAATAATCATTTCTCTGAACTTTTTGACTAAATTTTCTGGTGCATCATTTTTGAAAGATTGGACCGTTTGCTGGAGCTTTTTTGAGTTCTGTAAAAACTGGAATGGGCCTTTGGGAGTAGGCTTGTGGTTGATTGAGCAGGATGAGAAGAAAACTCTTATGTAAAACAAGACTATGCTGCAGTAATTAATTGTTAGCCAGTATGATTTAAAACTCAAGGAAATCAAAAAGTTTGCAGAAAGTTTGCTGATTTAATGTAGCCTCTGCAGTAATGATACTATAAAAGCATGGTTCCTACTCAAATAACAGTGAAAAAAATTTAATTTCACCACATGATATCACATATGAAATTATTTGGACTTTCATATTCTGTCGTATGTTTTTCACAAAAAAAAAAAAAAAAGGCGCTGAGAGTCGCACTACCTTTAGGGGAGTTTTTATGATAATTTCAAGAGAGAATACTTTTATATGATGTGGAAACAGCACCGTTATTTACTTTGTTTGCTGCATCTTTTTTCTTTGGCAGAGCTGCAGTAATATGCGGTCTGGCAAAGCAGTTCGAGAAAAGCAGATAACTTCACTGATTCCATTTATCCCAAGACTCGTGTCACGGGTGATTGGAAATTGGAAGCCTCGCCTTCTTCAGGTTTGACTCATGCTTTAAGAATTGCATGAAAACTTGTCTTCTGCAGATCATGTTGACTGACATTTCTCTTGCTTTATGAGATTTTCTTTTGTCACCGTGTTGGTGGTTCCTGTTCTACAGGTTCCTGAGAGCACCATAAGATCTGGTACTGAAGATGTTAAACGATCATATCTTTGTTGCAGGCATTTACAAAGGCATTCCAGGATTGCAGTCCAGAGTCATCAGTAAAATTGGCTTGCCTTGCTGCAATTGAAGAAATGATCATTTCTGTATGATAAACTCCTTAGCATCAGAGAGGCTTATTCTTTGCCTCCTTAGAAATATTCTTATCTTTTGTCTTTGCTTGGCTAATTCTACAAAAAATGCTGATTCTCTCAAATAATACATTTTACAAAATTCGCAGAGAGAAGATCTGCCATGTGCAGATGTTAGTGATTCGGAACTATTTGATTATCAGATTACTTGGATAAGAGAGTTGCCTATATTGCTTGTTCTGTTAGGTGACAGGCACTCACCCTCGTCCAAGGTATTTAGATTAGTTGTTGAAGAAGAAAATCTTTGCAACTCAATGTCATCAATATTTTAAGTTTTGCTTTTCTTCTTGTTATCAACTCCATAGGCAGCTCAGGTAATCCATAAACTTGGCCAACTGTTATTGCTGTCTTCCTCACAGGTAGTGTTGCATCTTCTACTTCGTCTGGGGCAACACTCATTGTTGTATGACGAAATGCAAGGCTTACTGAAAGAGTTCTACAGCACAGATCAAGATGGCGGTTAGTGCTGATATTTCCTGCTAAAATTTCATGTTTGGTTACTAGTCCATTGGAGGTCCATTAATTGGGGTCGTTGTCATACTCATTTTCTGTTCGGCAGGGAGCATATGCTATGGTCCTTTCTTAAGGCTTGCGAGGGATTCTCAAGAACTCTCTGTTTGCAGTCTTTATTATTTTTCTCAACTGGATTCAACTTTGCTTAAGTCAATTGCTTCTTGCTGCCTCTGTAAGTGTTTTTCTCACCTCACTGCAGTCTCTAACTTCCTTTAGTCTTCCCCTAATTGATGCCTCATTTTGGAACTAATATAAAACAGTTTGGTGAACTTCAAATGAACTTTCAATATGTTGCGTTGCTTAACTTTATATCTAATGATTCTTTCCTACCAAAATTTATATTGCTACTTTTAGCAAGGTCCAATGTCTATGAACCTATGCTTGCTTCTGTTAACTCTTGAAGTGCCTAGTATCTCCTAAGGTTTTAATTTTTCGTTGTAGGGACAATAAAAAGACTTTTGTCATGAAACCTTGGACAGAATGACTTCCGCTGATTTAGCTCGTATTGAAAGACAACTTGTTTTGAAATGACAGTTTAGTAGGACAATTTGCAATTTAATGATGACAACATTTCCCTTCACCATTTCCTCCCATTAGAAAGGACTATGGAGTCAGTTATTATAAATATATTGGCCATTTGATCCTATATGCGTCCTTCATGAGGTTTTTAAGAAATGTTGTTGCTTTTACATGGTTCTTGTAAGCGTTAAACTTTATAGTAGGATCTGATACTCACGAAAGAGAAACTAAGTTCTGACTGTTATTAAACTTGTTTTTGTGTTATCTTATTTTCTGCTATTTTGCAGGTCATGAGTTGGATCCATATATGTTATTCCGAATCATAGAGGTCTTACATTCAGCCTACAAAGCTGGCCATATTCAGATTTCTGACCACATAAGCTTCTTCATAACTTTGGCTTCACGTTTCAAAGTTTTTCCTGGTAAATTCAGAATGTTTTATCCCTTGGCAAACAAATTTGGATCAATTGTTTATGTAGTTTGTATCTGACAAGGAGATTTATTTCTGCAGAAAATATTTTTCATGCAATAGAGAGTGACACAAAGACCTCAAATCGTGGAACTTTTAAATCACTGACCAGTGTTGTTTGCTCATGCCTGTCTCAGATGGGTGACAATTCTCTTGTTTTTATGATACTAGAGAAAGTAATACTAGAGCAGTTAGTAAGTTGATTGACTTTTATGTGATTTTGTTGTTTACATACAGTCCTTTTCATTATTTTTGTCCTCTGAGATTTCTGTTGGACAATTCCGTTTATTTCAAGTACCAAAAAAAAAAAAAAAAAAAGAAGTAGAATGTTGTTTACAATATCTTGTTTGCTTGACTCATGATGGGTCATTCGAGTTCTACAGTGATGCCTTTTTTCAAATTTTCAGTCATCAAAACCACCTCTGGACAATGCTTGTGCTATGCTCAGAATGCTTATTGCACTGGACTCTAAGCCCACAAGACTTTCCAAACAAAGTATTTTCTCTTTAAGCAATGTCCTTTCAGCATATCTCGTTGATGTTGCACACGTAAGCATTTCTACTCTTCAAAAACTATCGTGATTTTCTTTCTTTTTTATTAAGACTCCCCTCTTTTCTTTGTTGTATTTGTATCAGTTTCTGTTTTTTCTGACTTACCAATAAATTACTGAAAGTGTTGCAAGATGAGGATATTGATTTAGGGTCCTTTATATGGTGCAGCAGTATGTATCTTGAGTCTTGGCCTTAGCGACCTAGATCTTTGTGAAGTCAATGGTATTGGATTTAGTTTCCTTTATACCTTTTGTTTTACGAACTGGGATGCTTTTGAACCTCTATTGGTTTGTTCACAGCATAGATCTTTGTTCAGTTATGCTCCTATTCATGTATATGATGGCCTTAAATTTGCCAATGAGGAGGATGGAGCATTTATTGGCCGAGGCATCCGTTCATTTAATTTCTGAGTGCCATGGCAACAAAGATGCCTTTTTGCAGTTGTTTGTGTGGTCATAACGAAGTTCATCTATCTTTATAGACTTCCCTTTTCCTTGTTATGATCTGGGGATTTATTCTTTGCTTTTTTGCACTAAATTTTATAAATTTGCTCGTATACCTCAAGTATCCCTCTCAATGGTTTTTTTAGTAACAGAAATGAGAAATATTTTACTTCTCTACAGTGTATTCCAGAAGATGACGATGATGATGAGAGCATGGGCTCCATTCGTGAGCAAAAACGGCGTTATTATCTTCTGCCTAGCTTTTTCCTGTTTGATAGAAATTACAAACTTCTCAATCTTGTGTTGAATGTGTTGGGGTCATCAATTAATGGAAGTAGTTCATCACTTCTATCTGGCGATCATTTCCGTTATGCCGTGGGGAACTCAAGTAGGATAAATGCTATTGTTTCTGTCCTACTATGGATGCAAAGGGATGCTAAGGTTCAGCAAATTCTTTATTTATGTAAGGAAGAGATTGACCATATTTCACAAAGCATTTGCGCTTTACAGGTATGGTTTTGCTTCACAGGCCTTAACATTTCACATTTTAAGGCATGGTTTATGCCTATGTTCTATGTTTTTGTGTTTTTGTGCTACAAAAGGTTGATCACGAAGGACAAGAACTGTTCATATTGTGGGATGGGGAGGGAAAGGGAGAGATTGAAGGTCTTGCTGGCCCTTCTTTAATCAAATAACCCATATGCATATTTGTCTTGCTGGATATCCTTTTGGATACATACATAATGGCACATTTCTTAGAGAGAATATTTTTTGAAAGTTATGGAGTGAAAGCTCCTCATATCTTGCATGGCTTGGCTCTGCAAAGCTTGATATTTATGGTTATGGACAGTTATAGACAAAATTGTCAGGTCTTGGAAAACTTGTCCAGTGGTAGAAATATTAAACTTTTTTTTTCAACTTCGAAGGATCATTTGATATTGTCCCATAAATTGCAAATTATGTATCGTGATTTTGTGATCAGTTTTTAATGTATGTGATCACATCTTTTTTGTTGTTTTTGCAGTCTTTAGGGGAAATCAATGTGCCAATAGAAGAAAGGCACATAATAAAGCACGCAATTGATCGACTAAAGACTTTAACAACTTCATTAGCTCAGTAGAAGCAAATGAAGTAGAAGGATATGGTTTTTTGTGGTAGTGACTCCCCATTCTGTAACTTTGAATCGGCATTACTCTGCATTTTTTGAGTTTCTGATTACTGACATTCTAACAGCTCTTGAAGAAAATTATCAAAATATAAACCATGAAAAGAAAAAAGAAATATATCAAACAAGTGACAACTTATTTAAAAAAAAAATAATAATGTCATTTCTTTTTGTATTTATCTTTAACAATGCCGACCTCATCATCACTTTCTTGCAGGATGTTCAATTTCCCAGTAAATGGAGGGAAGTTGAAATGATTTCATAATAAGATGATCTATAATTGCAAGATGCACTTAGAAAAGGCGAACAGTTTTGATGGTCAATGTGGTTGTCTTGGTGGCTGGGAATGTGGAAAAGACACTGGCTTTGCTCAAAAGCTAATGAAGGCAGCATCTATAGTCCAAAGCTTCCAGTGTCATGCATGAATATTGAATTATTTAATAGATGATCATAAGGGGGAATGCTAGCCGTTCCTTTTCCTTTTTCTTACTTTTGTTGTATATATAGGTGTCTTGATGGATGCAAAATTTTGTAATGGAAAGAAGTGAAGGTTCATTGGTGGTTAGATAGACACTTGCACGGGAGATCTCCCTGTCTACTTTATTTTTTTTTGTTTCATTTTGTTGAGCCCATGGATCCAGGCAGATATTGGTATGCCCTGATTCTTTAATATAAATTTCACCAATCCCTTGTATTTTACAGCTAATCCTTGGCTTACAACAGTCATGAAAGCAGCATAAGAACGAATGCATTGCTAGTGAATTAACCTTAGAGCCCAATTTGTTGTGTTTTGTTTTTTTGGGGGGTGTTTTTGGATGGTTTTGTTATGGATTTAATCATTAATTTCCAGCAGAAAAACACCTTTTCATTTTACTTATTTAAGTCATTATTTATGTAATATGTTGTAAAAAAATTATGACATCGAATTCTTAATTTACTTATTAGTTATTTCATAAAAAAATAAATTACTTGTTAGTTAAAATAGTTTAATTTATTATTCAAGTTCTTGGATCGATCAGTTGGTCTACGGTATGCTTTAAAACTTGTAGAGAACTTTTAACGGAAAAAAGGACAATTTTTTAATGTTTCATACGTCAGTACAAAACAGCACAGTCAAGCGGATGTGTTTGCGGTTGAATAAAAAAATAAAAAAATAAAAAAAAACAAAACCGTACGGTCAACCGGAGGTTCAATCTTTTGAGAGAGAGAAATACAAAGGAGGGAAACTCATCACTCAAAATTAAAAACACACTACATTTGCCGCCAAAAACAGCTAAAATCACCGAAAGCAAGAAAAGAAAAGAAAAAATCAAACAAAACTGAGAGCGATCTCAGAGAGAAAAGGAGAAGGAGAAAGACAAACCCATTGATTAATGCAATCCAAGATAAGTTCCTTCTTCAAGCCCCCTTTTCTTCTTCGCCGACAAAATCCATCCGAGAAGATCCACCTCCTGTTTTGGACGATGAATTGGCTATTTGGCAGAATTCTCCGCACCAATTTGTCAATACTTACACACGTCGAGCCGCCCCAAAATCAAATCACGGGTATGATCTTTTCTTTTAAGCCAATCCCTTTTCTTTTTAGCTAATGGGTTTTTCGTTTGGTTATTGTATTTACATTTTTGATGGCTTGATTAGATACCCATTTTGTTCTATTGATTTGGAGATTTGGGTCTTGCCTGGTCGTTGAAAAATGAAAGAAAATAAAAGAAAATTTGGATATTGTCTTAAAATTCAAATTTTCTTCAATTTAAATAAAAGTTCAGTGTGTAGTACTGCTTTTGATAACATGGGTTATTTCTAAATGGAACTAAAATTGACCTTTCTGTTTGATGTTTTTACTTATTTGTTGCTTTTGGGTTTTGCGGTTAGGGACCAAAGAAGGGAAGCAAATAAAGGACAAGAAAGTGAAATGTTGCCAAAATCCTTACCAAAAGATGTGTTTTTTAAACCAGAAACTTTGACTTGTGGGAAAGCGCTTAACAAGAAGAGAAACTATGCACAGTTTCATTTAGACTTGGGTCAATCTGATTTCAATCTCCGTACATGTTCTACATGTGGGAGTAAATACGCCCCAGGAGATGAAGGTGATGAGAAGGAACACAAAATATTTCACAAGAATTACACTAATGGAATTCAATTCAAGGTTGCATTTTTAGAAAGTTTGAATTTCTTAATCAGGTTTTATTTGGTTTATTTTTTTATGATTGTTTTGTTTGAATTGTGAAGTTAATTTTATTCTAAATCAGGTTTTGAAAAGCGAAAGGGTTGTGCATATGCCTTGTAGTGAAGCTGGTCGTATTGTTTTGGTGTTGGATTCTGATCCTCCTGCACTGAGAAATAAGGTTTGTGTATGGCCTTTTTTTTTTTTTAACTGTTGAATTCGAGTATGTGTGGAGCTGTAATGTGGTCTGGGGATTTTTGCATTGATGATGCTTCTGTTTGCTGGTATGAAACTTGTGCTAGTATGTTAATCTGGATGATGAACTTATTTGACAGGTACAGGAGGTTATAAAGATGATGGAAATTGAGCTTGGAGGGGGTGGATTTTTCATAAGCTTTGTAAGGTAACAGACTTCTTGAGGATTTTCGAATTATAATCAAGTTGCTTTGCCCAATAATTAGGCTTTTGATTCTTGATTTTTCATCATTCTGTTATCGGGACCGATTTATTTAGATGGTCTCAAAGTGTTGGCTGAATATTCCTAAGAGTTTTTTGTGATACAGAATGCTATTATATACTTTTGGTTTCTGATAGAATTTCTTACCCTGGTGGTCTGGGGTCATTGAATTTTCTTTCTAGTTTACCTGCTTATAGTTCGATTAGTTTTGTATGAAAAATGAGATTCCATATCCTTATTCCTATCCTTTGAAAGTAGAACACTTCTTGAAGCGCAGCTGTCTTCAAGATTGGATTGCCATTGACAGCCATTTACTGAAATATCATGCGCCTTGTATTTGCAGGTGTATCTATTTGTTTCTTCTCAGAGAGTAGCTGGTTGTTTAGTCGCCGAACCAATAAAAGAAGCATTCAAAGTCCTTACATGTTTGGTGGATGAAAGATCTAATGGTGCTACTAGAAAGGGTTCAAGATCAAACTCCACAACTCTCCGATTTGGTGAAGTCATCTTACGAAGGGAAGCCATGAAAAAAGTTGCTGTAGTTGATTCTATTGATGTATTGGATGGGAACCACAATGGAGCTATTGTCTGCGAAGAGGAAGCTGTACCTGCCATATGCGGCATTAGGGCAATCTGGGTTACTCCCTCTAACAGAAGAAAACGCATTGCAAGCCAATTACTGGATGCTGCGAGGTAAATTTTTTCCTTCCAGTTCTGTTTATTTCAATTGTTATCTTCTCTATATTCCTGCAGTAAACGTATGTAGTTTATCATTATTCCTCTGCATATGAGCTTTGACTACTCTTAATTCATTGTCTAATTTCAGTTATGATACATCTTCAATCCAACTGTCTTTTTGCATAACGCTCTGATTCCTCCTCTGTAATGGAGTCCCAATATGCGAGGCTGTGAGCTAAAAAGTAAATTTATCGCACACGATATAATAATGATCCTTATATTGCGAAAGTTGTAAAGCTATTGAATCATTTTCACGAAATCTACAAACAGGAGTTTTGAGTTTCCCTACGGAGTTGATGTGTTCTCTCTTCTCATTTTCGGCATCCCTGTTCAACAGGCAGACTTGTTTAACTGCTTACACTCGCAATTCGTTTTTTCACATTTCAGCAGCTAACTCATTTCTCTTCTAAACGCAGGAGAAGTTTTTGCATGGGTTTTGTTCTCGAACAATCTCAATTGGCATTCTCTCCACCAACCATGTCAGGAAAGGCATTGGCATCCAGTTATGCTGGCACTACATCATTCTTGGCATACAAACCCAAAAATGCGAGCAGTTGAATGTTTCTCTTAGATGGGTAGGATGATTTCTATTGATCATGTGATTGTATTGCTTTCTTTACTGAAATTGGATGTTATCATTTTGAAGTTATAGTAAAATAGCCTAGTTGAAATTAAAATGAACTAGAGGAATTATTTTGCATGAGCATGGATCCAAATAAAAGGCCTCACCTATCCTCTTCCGAGAGTGTAGGGAGTTCATCTAGCAACGCAATCGTTCGTTCTCAGATAGAAAGAGTCGTACTGTGAAGTCTCAGTGATTTTGCATCTGCAGACTGCAAAATTTCAATAAACTCTTCTACAATCCGCAATAAATATAATCATAAAAACATTTTAGGAAACAAAGAAAGCAGTTCTAAACTGCTTGAAGCTGACCATCATGGTTGGAATGGGTTCAGACCTTAACCATTGAAAAATCAAAACCAATATCCCAACCATCCATTGAAATGGCCAAGTGATATTCTGGGTCATTGCTATTTGACGTGGCTTATGTAGATATAAAAATTTGCAAAGCACCATGATTTGTTATGTCATGAGATTTGCTAATGAAAGCTTTGGAAATAAATTTCAGCTAGTTTACACAGGAGTTGACTCCACGGGGCACTTCGGCCTTGCTTTCAAGTTGTCCTGCACAATCTCCTTCATCTGCATCTGCCTCAAGATATTGACCAAATACCTTCATAACTTGTTCATAGACTGGCTTCTTGAAATCCACAGCCTGTTCAGTGAGCAAAGAAGTATCAAACATCTAAAGGTAGATTTCTGGTTAAATATTTCCAAGCAATGTTTACTTACAAGCTCCAATACTCGTTCTGGCAACAACCATGCCCAGTCCTTGAATTCTGGAGTTTCACTTCCATCACCCAAAAGGTTGATCTCTTCCTCCTTCCCAGTAAACTTAAAAAGAAACCTGTTTTCAAAAGTTCTATATGAGCAATGAACAAATTGAAAAAAACAGACAAATGCTTCTGCTAAATATCTGGCGACTTGGTCTTTGAATCAGAATGAGGCAGACCCATAGTTCTGAAATTATTTATAAGAAACTATGAAATATATTTAGAACAAATAATGAAGAAAGCAGGTAAATTTTGACAATAAGCAAAGACAATTTGTAGAGAGAAAAAGACCCGATACCGATAAGTATAAAAAGGGAAAAACAGAGACATGCCCTCCTTTACCAACATTTATGTTCCCCAAATAACAAAAGATGCTCAAAGAAACCTTTTTTCAAAAAACCAGTACATGGAGGCATTCGTATTAATGAATTAACCATAGCAAAACAGTGGCTATAATGAAAGCAGAACTAAGAGCAACCAAAAGTTGTAGTGATCAGGAGCAATTTAAATCAGCTAAACAAACTTAATTATTTGTCAGCATAAAAAATTAACTTCCATGATATGATCCATCTTTTATTTTATTTTTTGTGAGATTGTATCCTTACCACTTCTGTGATTGACCTTTGTAATTTGTACCCCATCGACGACTGAGTCTCTCTCTTGCTTGTGGTGGAAAATCATAAGTGAGCCAGTAGGGTGCCTACACATCCAAATCCAATATCAAAACCAGTTCACTCAAACATGTAGCAAAAGACTTATCTTTCCAAATTCTTAGATGTTCATGCCATGCAGGACCCTAAAGATTAAATTACTAACACTGAAACAAGGGGAAAGAAAGAAAAAAGAAAACCCACCTCCGCAACAAATTCAGCTGAAGTAACTCCAGTTTCTTCCCTCAATTCCCTCATTGCTGCATTCCTTAGGTCTTCACCTTCTCCAGCACCACCCTGTAAAACACAAAAATCACTCACAAAGCCTATCTTAAGCTTAAGCCTACAACGCAAAAGCGAAACTGTTATGAGCTACTATCCACCAGGCTTCGCTACATAAACCGCAATTATAAGACCCACCCATACCCTACATCTAAGGTTCCATCTGCTCTAAATCAGTTCAAGAACAATTCACCTGCAAATCTGAAAATAAATCGCTACATATCCCATGGATCCAACAAGCAATTCCTTTAACAAGATAATTGAAATCCAATTCTTTCCCCACAACCACTGCTTCCATTAGCTACTAAAATCATTTCCCATCAACTCCTGTAAAATCCCAAAATAAAATAGAATTGAAAATATCCACTACCTGAGGCATCTGCCACGTGTCCGGGACGTTTATCCTCGAAGCAGTAAATATCTACAAGATTGACAACCAAAACCAAAAACCCCACTCACCAATTTAATAATGAAAAAGCAAAAAAACAATTTCAATTGACAGGAAAAATTAATTAACCTTTCTAGAGGGATTAACGAGACAAATCCCCACATTCCTTCTATACCCATCCGGCGGAGTCTCCATTAATGGCGGCAACTTTCTTCTTCTGCTTCTCCTCCTACTCCTCGTTAAGGACAAAGCGGAGCAAGAAGAACCAGATAGTGGCACACTCGCAAATTTGTTCAAATTTACAGGGCAATTTGGGGTTACAGACCGATAAATATATGAATTTCTGACAATACTATCACACGACTCCATAATTCGTCGTTTTAAAAATAAAATTACTTGGTCCCCAAGCATCAGTACCTCCTTTCCTGTTATAAGACCGCCTCGACAGGATAATATCGATAAGTCCATCTTTTTTTATTCCATTAATACCCTCACCGCCCCAATTTATTTACCATTTTGCCCTAAAACCCCTCACTAATATTATATAAACCCCTCCTCCTCTCTCAGCCTTCCTTAAGAGCAAAGTTAAAGAACCAAAACAAGAACATTCCGCTTTCTCTCTGGACGGGATATTGCGTCATGATGAAGGAAGCGGCGACTGGGGAGAGGTTTCCGGTGGTTTTATTTGACGGCGAGCAGGATACGAGAGTAGGAGACGTGGTCGTCTTGCCAACTTTGAATTTCAGGGGCTTGCAGTTGATAATCAGCGAGAGAATCGGAATTTCTCCACAAAAGTTCTCTATTTTTCTCGCAAACCGCGAGAAGATGGGATCGAGAATTCCTGTGACTGCCAAGACCAATTTTTCGGAAATTTATCGCGAGAATGACTGGTTATTTCTCGTGGTGTTGAAAAGATCGAGGCGCGAGAGTAGGATAAAGGAGCACGAGATGATGACTGGGAATACCGTGAGGTTCAGGTTCGATCCTCCGCCAGGAAATTTAAGGCTTCTAAGAAGGGATGGTAATAGTGTTGCTATTAATGGAAACGGGTTATCGGGTCTTGATTTGGGTTGGGTCGAGTATGAAAGAAGAGTCCGGGAGTTGCGAATGGAGAAGGAGAGGTATTTGATGAATATGGGTTTGGGAACAGATCCGGGTGTTGGTCATGAAGGGCTGAGTTTGGGAGAAACAGAGAGGAGGGATAGAAATGTAGTCTGTGAGGAGTGTTCGAGAGCTAAGAGAACCGGTATGGATCCTGGGTTTCATTGGTGTGTTTATGATACTGTTACTTTCGGGTTTCGGTCATCAGCTGGTCCGATTGCCCGGCCAATAAAAAGACCCTCTTGAGATGAGATTCGAGTCTCTGTTGGGTATCGAAAATTGTCGTGATTTGAGGATTTTTTTTATTTTTTTGTCCATGGACAGACAGAAGGCGGATATGGTGTCCTGTGGTGTAGGGTAAGAATGGTACACCTTACACCATGGGGCGGAGTGGATTTCTAGTGGTTTTGGGATATTTGGAACCATATTTGGTTGGGAATTTTTGGCCAGCCATCGTGATTGGCACCACATTAATTTGGTTTTGGGGAACTACTAGAAGCTTTTAATTGAAGAAAAATAGTAGCAATGATAAATTAATAATTGTAGGCACTTTTTATTTGAAGTTTTTAGTTTTATGAAGGATTTGGCATCAAATTGAGTGTGTTCCAGATGGAATTGACCGGTTATTGATGCTTGATTGAGATTAGGATCATTTCCTTCCTTTCTTTCTTTTTGCCATTCTCTTCCGTTGAGTCCATAAAGCTGTTTGGCTTTAGTGTGAATTTTTCATGGCAAAAAATTGCAATGAAGTTTATTAAGGTTTTTCCTTTTGTTTTTTTTTTTTTGGTTGGAGCTTTTCCATTTTGAATTGTGCAAAGATTGTTTTGATATGGAGAAGCCTCCTTTGGATAACTTGTTAGAATGCATTATTGAAAATTGATCAATTTGTTGTTTTCATATTCCATGCCCCCCAGTTAATTAATAAACTGTTGTTGTCCAAATTGGATTCATGTGTTCCAAAAGATTGACTGATTTTGTAGAGAATGCATTATTGAAAATTGGCTAATGTTATGTCTCATACAACATAGTTTGTGTCGTCTGCATGTGGAAAATTAGTCTTTAACATATAACAAACCGAACAATTCGGTAGCTAATCACAAGGTAGCTGCAAGAGAGTCGAGGAGGGAGGGTCATGTCGAATGCGAGATATGGTTTTGACATTTGGCAGTAAATCTTAAATTAGTCCCTTTAGTTTCGATATCTCAAATTATTTAGTCTAAATACCTAGAGTACGCTATCATTGGGCAACCATTTCATGCATAAGATCAATAATTTGTATAGTATAGTGTGGATAAAAGTTTTTTTAATTTATAATTAATGTAAATTGAATCTATTTGTTGAACGAAATCGTTTGATTTATATATATTTATTAACAAAATAAAATTCATATAAAAAGCTATATTTCAATAATTTGAAAGTTTTTTCAAAATATTATTTCAATTATTTTATCTGAAAAATATTGATTTTTGAATATAAAAAAATAAAAAATAAATAATTGATTTTATATGTGTGATATAGAGTTAACTTTCAACAAAACAAATGATATATGTCTTGCTAAAATTTTTTTGAGAGAGTTGATTGATAAACTATTTGTACTTTGGGAGGAAGGATTGAAGTTTCCACAATAGAAAATGAACAAAAGAATCTTATTGATACATGATTAAAATGGCAATTATTAGAGAATAACTATTTGAATAAAAATGGATAGAACTCATATATTTCATAAAATGAAATTAACTATAAAAATTATTATACGTTTCATAATTATATGAAAGTAGAGGATACAGCATAAGTTCGTTTCATTTTGAAAACATGCAAAGAATACTATAGCATCAAATAGGTTTTGTGATGAGTGATGTCTTTTCAATTTAATTTAATTATTCAATATGAGATTCCGTTTTAACACTTGTAATATATTTTTTAAATTTATTTAGATCTTTGTTGGACTGTTGAATATTTTCAAGATTCTGATATCATATAAAATAAAATAATTAAGATTGGATTTTGTCCAAAAAAACTTAAGTTTTATGATGAGTGGTTTTTTTAATCTTATATATTAATAATTTTTTACTTAATTATTTAATATAGTATATGTGTTCTCTTCGGTTTGAAAGCTTACAGGAGTACGGAGCGTCTTAGCTTTGTGGGGTCGCTTCTTCCTGCTTCCAGGAGTATGGAGCCATCAATCATTTATTCTATCAGGCAATTGCCATCTTGATTCTCCATCTGTCTTTGTGAGGAGACCTCACAGTAAGTAAAGTGAACCCATCCCCATGGTGCCATCCCCTCCATAATGATCCATATATGGATCGACACGTTCCGATGAAAACGACATGCTGATAGCCAGATACAGCATCCGCTCGCGTTGATTTTCTGCCCATCAACGCACCCTGGCCAGCCTTTCCACAACACTAATTTACACAGACGCTTAACTACTCGCTTAATAAAACCACCACATGTCAAATCGCCCACACTTCAAAAGAAAAGCGGCGAGTAGCCTTCAAATACCACGCGCTGTCGATTGGATAAAAGGACCAAAAAAATTCCAAAACGGCAAAAGAGTGGAGAGAGAGAGTAAAGAAGAGAGTGATACGGCCCTGACTCACCCTCTTATAGGTGGAGTGGTGGCAGGGCCGAGTGGGTCACGTGACCCAAAGTACGGATGGACCCAAAACAAATAAGCGAAATCTGTAACGTCAAGAGACCAGAACACAACCCCACCTCCACTTCAATTTCTTTTCTCTATAAGACCAGAAAGGAAAAATCTCCCGCTTGCAGCCCTTCAAATCCCTTCTCTTGTTTATCTTTGTCATGGATCATCACGAGTTTGCTCAAACTTTGGGTGATGAGGCGAAGCTTTGGCTTCCATCTGATATGTTCTTAAGTGAAGTGATTCCTTCTGAATATAGTCCTAATTCTCACAACTTTTCTTGCAATATGGATGACCTTGCTCACCATTTGGCTACTCTTTCTTTTCTCGAAGATAGGCCAGCAAGAAACCTCTGTAGACCCCCTGCTCCAAAACCAACACCATGTTCACAGGTTCTTTAAAAAATTTTATTTGCTCTTTTTTTTTCCTTTGCTTTCTATTGTGGAGTACTAGCACTCTTGCATGGCATAACTTGTGATTTTTTGGTGTGTTTGTAGTGTATTATACCAGTGGTTCGTGATGTTTCAGTGAACCATTTACTACCTGGGTATCATAATCTTGATTTCAATGGCGGTGTTGAAGTTGGTCAAAGGCTTAATGGGAATGGACCTGGACATCTTTCCACCCGGTTTGACCCGGTTTACAACTTCCAAGTTAAACAACAGGTGTAGAACCAGAAACTGAAGCCGTTTTTGTTTTTTCGCTTTTTATGAGATGTCTTGCCAAGGCTTTAATTTTGTGCAGCTTTAATACCAATAGTAATGATATGGATAGGTTTTAATGGTCTAATTGATTTGGTGGATGTGTAGGTTGATGAGTATCTGGAAACAAGAGCTAGGGTTTTACAAAACCAGCAAAACCGCCTTCAAAACCGGGTTTATCCGTTTCAGGGAAATGGACGTGGTCTTGGTGGTGGTTTTACGAAAGAGTCTGGAGGTACTGGTGTGTTCCATCCTCGCATTGTAAACCCCACCACAACTACCAGTACTAATGTACTGAAAAAGAAGGAAGCTGGTCAGTTGTTAATGCTTTGGTTTGCTAATGGTTTTCCTTTTGGTATTTTTGGCTAGTAAAGTATGGTTAATTGACATAAATAATACTAATACATTAACTCTACTTTTTAATTTTCTTCTTAAATCTATGGTGCAAGGGTTTTTTTTGTTTTTGGTATAGTATTGGTATTAGAAGTTTCTTGATTCATGGCGAACGCACACTAGAAAGGACGGTAACTTGTTTAGTTTATGTATTTCTTGGTTTTTTGATTTGGTTGCTTTCTTTTCTTGGAAGTTGTAATAGAACTATAGAAGGAAGTAAAATTAGTTTATGTCCACTGTTTAAGTTTATCTTGCTTTTAGCTTTTGGGCAAAAATAGGCACTTTCTGTGCATTTGGAAGGAACAAGAAATAATGCAGTGATAGTGATCTCTAAGATCAAGGTGTTACGGATTTAAATTTTAATAGATTAATTCTCCTAGGAATCTTTTTGTTTGAGTTAAAAAAAATTAAAAAAAAGGCGACTTGTAGTTTCTTACATAGACTTATTCATAAGGCATGAACGACCAAGTAAATTGAAGCACCAAACCCAGATAGTTAGTGCTATAATATTTTTGGCCTTATTATATTGTGACCCTAGTTCTTTTGTTTTTTTTTTTTTTCCTATAATGGCATTCCTGATAATTAAAAAATTGAAAAAAAATCTGCAAAGGTAGTAGTAGCATTGCTTTTTTTTTTTTTTTTTTTTGGTTGTTGTTGTCAGTGGCGCAGTGCATATTGCAGAATAGTCTGTCTGGTTGCAGACTAAAGTCTGTAGCAGTCGAGAAGGACATATCTGATTAAGGATACAATAATGGTTTTCTATTATATGTTAGTCTCTTCTAGCACTCATTTGATCCAATATTATCTCAATATGGGCTGATCACGTTTGTTTTGACAGCAGCAGGACCTAGAAACAGGCAAGATTCTCAGCTCACTCAACAGAGAAAGTACCGGAATAGGGTTGGTGTTAGCAAGCTGGAGGATTACTATTATCATCTCACCCCCGACATGGCTTTGCCTCTGGATTGGTCTTACTGAGCTAATAGTAATGTCTTTTGCAGGATTACTGGCCAAGAAAGATAATTAGCTTTAGGAGAAGAATAGAAAGAAGATAATAATTAATATGCTTTTGGGTTTTAAGCTGTAGATTTAACCAAAGAAATTTAGTCGTTTTGCTTAGTAGGAGAAAGTTGTGGTTAGGCCGTCTTTGGTTTTGCCTTTGTAAAATAAGTGTTTTTATGATCTCTTTTTCCTTGCTCTGGTTTTTGGTCAACTTCATTGCTAGAACTAGTGGGGTGAGTTTTAGCAGGAAGTGGAAAAGATATGGGATCCTTCGTACACGCTCTTTTGTTTGTTTGTGGTGTCTCTTTGTGCAACATTCAATGGTTGTGGCAGGATGTGACCCGGTGCCAGCATACCTCAAAATCCCTTTTCCTTTTATGTTTGGTCTTCAGGGTTTGGTGTAGAACAGGAACACATTTATGAACTCCTCTGCGTAGGAGTTCAACCGTTGCCTAGCAAGAATACCCACTTGAGGTTTTAGCCCTGTACCATGTGTCAGGGAAGAGAAGAGTTGCTGATAATAGGTATAATCGGAGCAACGAGTTACAATTTTTTCCAACCCGAATGAGGACTTGTACGCGAGTGTGTTTTGCTTTTTCACAGGATTTTTCCTGAAACTTCGGGAAGTGCATATAATTTTCTTATAAATAATACTGTGGATCATTGATATGCTTGGATCTTCTCCTTTTCCATGGTAAATATTTGCATTTCATAAAAAGGGTTAGCAGTGAATGCAGATAAGCTTGTAGCACAGACTAGGAAGGGGTTAAAGCTGCATATCTAGCTTACGAAGTCACACACCCAATAAAATAAAAAATCTAACTCGATCCAGATGAAGATTAAGGAAGTGAGGCAAGTTGATAATCCATTGGCAGTACTGGAACTCCCCTTCCTGTGGAGTATTTGCTTGCCCCTGGTGATTGGTTTCGAGGGTCACCAAGCTTATATGCATAAGCGGTAGATTTGTATCAGCTTATTATAAGATTTGTTTATCCATACGACAACATTAATTTATTAAATAAAATAACTAGATGCATGGGCTCCAAAGATGGAGGACATTAGCTCCACATAGACTTGATGATTCATCCGTTATTGATCCCGGTCATGAACTACTTACTAATCAAAAAATATGCAAAAGAATTTAATACAATCCATCAAATTATTGTTGTCATAAACTTGTTGCAACAGGGAAGACTTACCATACTAATTTCACCCAAGTTTTCATTTCAAGAGAACTAATCACTACAAACAGTGGTGGATGCAGGACCAAATATCAACAGGAGTCAAAATAAATGTTTATAAATTTATCATGGTTTACACAAAATTGTATATATTATAAATAACAAGATAGCATATGTTTTAAAATAGTCTCAAAATACAATCACTCAAAATAGAAAATCTTTATTATTTCAAGTAACGAAAATCATCTATAAGCGAATCTATACTAAAATTTTCAGCAATTTCTTTTTCAACATACACTAACAAATAATCGAAAAGAAAGTCATCTTGCATCTTGTTATGAAGCTTAGTCTTGACTATACTCATAGCTGAAAATAAACACTCTGTGGTAGCCGTAGAAACTAAAAGAGTAAGAATAAGTGTTATCACTCTATACACAAGTAGATAACTTTCAAATTTTCATATCTTCATCGGCCATTGACACAAATTAGATATAGTTGACAATGTTTTGAAATAAAAAAGATTACATACATGATCAAAATGCACTAACAAACAATCGAAAAGAAAGTCATCTTGCATCTTGTTATGAAGCTCAATCTAGACTATGCTCATAGCGAAAATGACCACTATGTGGTAGTCGTAGAAACCGAAAGAGTAAGAATAAGTGTTATCACTCTATACACAAGTAGATAACTTTCAAATTTTCTTATCTTTATTAGTCATTGACGCAAATCATAAATATTTGACAATGTTTGAAATAAAAAGATTCCATACATGATCAAAATGCTCAAATTGCATAATTAATTGCAGCATTTCATGATCGGCAAAGTCTTGAGGGTAAAATATTTTCACCAACTTATAAATGTCATCAATTCTAAATGATATGCACTTTTCTCTAGGATCTAAAGCCAAACTAAGAATGATTAGCTCTATCGTGTGATAATGAAATCTATTATTTAGTTCTTGTATTTGAGAATCGATTACAACATTGAATATGTCGACTTTATAATGATGCTCAACTGTAATTGCATCTTATTGATGACAAGCATTTCCTTTTCTTGCAACATAATGAGTACTCAAGTTTGGTATGGGTATATTAACCGTTTCACAAAAAGATTTTGCTTTTGAAATTAATTCATCCCATTCTTCATCTTTTAATTTTTGAATGAGTAACTTAGTTGAAGAAACTAGATGCATTGCATTTAAAATATCTTGAGATTGAAGTTGTAAAGCTTGACAAAGCAAATCGGATATCTCTAAAATTTTTCTCATGAGATGCATAATGAAAACAAATTCAAAAGAAATTAATCCCTCATAAGCTATATCCGCATCTCCATGCTAAGTAATTGTAGCACCATCTTCAATGATGTTCGGTAAAATTTCACAAGTTACACTAAACATATTTATCAAGCTAGAAACATATTTTAGATGAGAACTCCAACAAGTATCCCCAACCTTTTGTAAACCACTAACTTGATTAAGCCCCCTTCCATTTTCAAGCTCACCAATAGAAAGTAAATAAGCAATATTTATAGCATAAATAGCTTTCAATTGATCATTATACTTACATGAAGCGTCAACAATATTAATGATGAAGTTTAGTTTGATGAAAAAATGATGGATAGGGATAACTTCCTTTGATGCGACAACTAATGCCAACTGCAAACGATGAGCCAAACAATGAACATAGTATGCAAAAGGGCATTCATTTGAAATCGGATCTTATAACCCATTCCATTCCCCTCGCATATTGCTTGCACCATCATAACCCTATCCTCCGATATTCCGAACAACAAGACTATAACGAGAGAGAACAAAAAATATTTCTTTTTTCAATGTTAATGTAGTAGTTTGTTTTACATGAATAAGCCCAAAAAAGCGCTCTCGTACATATCCATTTTTGTCAACAAATCTCATTACAATGGTCATTTGCTCATTTTTAGACTCATCTCGAGCTTCATCGATAATTATACAAAATTTTGCATTACCAATTTCTTCATAGATAGCATTCTTGACTTTAGTTGCCAAGACTTGTAAAATTTCTTTTTGCACTTTTAGTAATGTGTACGAGGTATTTTGTGGAGCTTTACTCAATACTTCGCTACCATGTTATTGTAAGATGCCATGAAAGTCAATAGTTCAAGAAAATTTCCATGATTCATCGATGTTATAATCTCATCTTGACCTCTAGATGTGCATCTTTAAAATACAAGCCACCGAGTTGCATCAATTGAAGCTTTAATCAAAGTTAATTGTCTATAATTTGCTAAGAAGTAAATTTCATAAAATTTTTCTCAATATACAAAGGTTGATTCATGAGATCTTGATATGTTTTCTCGGTATTTTTGTGAGGAGAAGTGGGATCGTTTCCATGATGCACTAAGAATTTACAATTTTTACCATCCTTAACTTTCTTTCATGATCAAAATTCATTAACGAGTGAATGTATTTGATCCAAAAGAACCATTTAGTGTGTGAAATAAATAGCATGATAGACAAAATATAGCTTATTTGGTCGAAAAATATTCTAACCATGATGGAAATATTTTAAACCATGATGCTTGGAAACTACGAGATGGTTTTCTTTAGATTTTGGATAATTTGAAAGCATAAACCGATATGGACTAGCATTAATATGGACTTTTTGAACTTCATCATATTTGTCGGCAGGATACTCCCATATTTGTGGTCGTAATCTTGGATAATGTTTAACTCTCCGAGATTTTATAGGAGGATTTTTACTCCTCATTAGAGTTTGAAATAACAACATTCTTCCTTTTAAAGAATGCATCAATGGTATGTGACTTTTTCATATACAATAAAAATAAATTATAAATATGAATATGCAAGAATTTCTAAAGTACGATATGCAAAAAATTATAAATTCACTTAAAATGCAAATAAGATATTCAAATTTTCAAACAAAATACATAATTAGACCACCATCCAGATTCTACCGGGAGCCACCCTCAGAGCTTACCGGTATACGTATCTAAAAATATTAGTGATTATAGTAACACCGATCGCTCCACGAATAAGTTGAATACATTTTAAAATGGTCACTTTAGTGATATAGAACCTATAAAATATAAACAAGAAAAATTATTATTTTTAAAAAACAAATAATTGAGAATCCAGTATATTAATTTAAATATGCTTGTGAGTAAAATAGTTAAAGATATTTTTTAATAACCATTAATGAAAGAAGAATGGTTATTTATAAATTGTAATCATGCATTACTATTGTTACAATTCCTTTTTTTTCTTTGAGTCTACAACTACAAGCACAACAACAATATAAAATTTCAAGATCAATAATATAATTTTAATTCAAATAGATAGGTTATCGAATTTTACTGATCCATGGATCTAATATTCCAATAGATACCTTAATCACATAAAAATAAAATTAGAAAGACAAACAATCTAATATTTTAATTATAAAATATTATTTAAAAAAGAAAATTGGGAGTTGCCAAGATTCATTCAATATATAAAATGAAAAACTTAATAAATTAACGATGTAAACAATATAATAAGAGTTAATAAATTATTGATTT